ATTGGAGCTATAACCAGGCCATTGTAGTCAGTGAGACTCTCAGGCTAACCGGTTTACCCTTCCTGAGATTTGAACAATGGTCCTGAAGATGGTGGTTCCATCTTGTCCTAGGTAAGGCCCTGTCTGCAGGGAATGGGGTAAGCAGAACGCTTCTTTGGTCCCGGGAAGCAAGCAGGGCAGCTCAATTCCACTTTATCACTGAAGGCCCAGTAAAGCTAAGAGTGGGGAGGACAACCCAATGTGTACTCATCTCATTCTTCTGAAAAAGCCTGGAGCAGTGTGGCAATGATGGGCTGAACCCGAGAAATCAAACCATCAAGACAATTTCAATTCATGGCAACCCTATATGTGTCTGGAGAACAGCATGCTGGCCTGCGGGTCTGAAATGGCAGTGATCTTACGGAAGATGACTGGGCTAACTGCTTACAGCATTTGTCAGTTCCTGTACAGGAGAAAATGCTAGGCTGTGTCTGCAAGAATTCCCATGTGTCATGGCAAAGCGATTATATAACTAACATGCCCATGAATGTTTCCTGTCCAGTGTCGGCCAAGTGGTCATTAGGGTAATGAAAGTTTTTGCTTTGACAAAGTAAAGGCTCCTTACTGTTTGCAATCATTGGGAGATGTCAAGGATTACATTGCAGCAATTCCAGGAGTTCAAAGGCAAGTGAGGCTTGCAAAGGTGGAAGGAAGAACTTCATTATACATACTTTCATCTCACATTACACGTGACTTGACTTTTCTGCGTCAAAACAGGCTGAAGCACTACCTTACGACATTCTTGGAACCCTTGGTGGGATCAGGATGTGTTCACACAGCCATGTGTCCAGTGTGCACATGTTGGAGGCAGACTCCATGGGATCATGTCTTACCAGCAGTGGCAACGGCTCGAGAGCCAAGTACCTACTGAGAATTAGGTGGCTGCTAGTTGTCATTTGATAGGCACAGCGAGAGGAACCAAACCCACCGCTCTTGAGTCGATTCCAATCCAGTAACCCTATATAGGGTTTCTTAGACTGTAAATCTTTAGGGGAGCAGATAGCCTCATCTTTCTCCTGGTGAATCTGAACTACTACTGACTTTGTGGTTAGCAATATAATACCTAACTCACAGCACCCCAGAGCTTGTACATGAAAGGAAATAGAAAAGGGGCCCTTAAATGCAGGTGCTGTTGACACTGAAGGTGACCTCCAATGCATTCATTGTCACCTGAAAACTGGAGACAGTCGTAACCTTGTTATACTGTTGGCTGAGTAACCCACCTTTACTACTCCTCATGTGCAAAAAGCTATCACTTTTATATCAAACTAGTATGATAAGACACTAAATCGATATAAAAGTGACAGCTGGACCAAAAAATACCACCTTGATAAGTGCAGAAAAGATTAAAGTTGTCAAAGACTTCATTTTGCTGGAATTCACAATCAACACTCATGAAAGCAGTGTTAAGAAATCAAAAGACGTGTTGCATTGGGAAATTCTGCTGTACAAGACCTCTTTAAAATGTCAAGAGCAAGGATGTCAGCTTGAGGACTAAGGCATCTGGCCCAAGCCATGGTCTTTTCAATAGCCTCATAAGCATGTAAACGTTGGACAGTGAATAAAGACTGTACAAGAATTGATGCATTTGAGTGATGCTGTTGGAGAAGAATACTGGCTGCCAGAAGAACAACAAATCTTTGTTGGAAGCAGTGCAATCAGAATGCTCATTAGAAGTCAGGATGGTGAGACTCCTTTGTCTCTCATACTTTGAACATGTTATCAGGAGGGACCATTACCTGGAAAAGGACATCATGCTTGGTGAAGTGGAGGGTCAGTGAAAACGAAGATGCTCAACAAGATGGATTGGCATAGTAGCAACAACAACAGGCAACTGTTCTATTGTGCATAGTGTCACTATGAGTTGGTACAACTTGATGGCACGTAATAACAAGTATGATAAGATGACAATTTCTAAGCCTTGTATCCACCTAGAAATCTGGACTTGCCTTAAAGATCTGATTTTGCTTAAGTTTTGTAAGAGGGTTGGTTTGGTTTATTACATAAACTTCCTGATTCTCCATTGTTCCTAAAGTTGCCCAGGCCAAAAGCTTAAGAATATAAGAATCAAGAAGTTTGCCTGTAAGTCAAAAGGTTGCTTGAATCAACACATGTTATAGTTGTTAATCGCTGTAGAGTCAGTTCTGACTCATAGCGACCCCGTATAGGGTTTCCAAGGAGTGGCTGGTAGGTTTGAACCACCGATGTTTTGGTATTAGTCCAGTGTTTATCCTACAGCACCACATCAGGATGCCCAGTAGAAATAATATAAACATAATTACTTAGCGGAGATCTGGTAGTGTAATAGTTACAAGTTGGGCTAACCTCAAGGTCAGCAGTTTGAAACTACCAGCCATTCCATGGGAGAAAGATAAGGCTTTCTGCTCCTGTAAAGATTTACAGCCTCAGAAACACTACACAGGATCACTATGAGTCAGAACCAACTCTACGGCACCACACAGTCACCACCAACACCACCAATGACGGATTGGAGTCCAGGTGTGGCACTGTAGTAGGATCAGCACTAGACTGCTAACTACAAGGTTGGTGGGTTCAAACCTATCAGCCGCTCCTTTAAACCCTATACAGGGTTGCTATGAGTCAGAATTGACTTGACAGCACTCAACAACAACTTATCAGATCAGAGTCATCAAAGAATAACACAGGCTGTATGTAATTCAATATCTGTAAAGTTTTGAATCTACAAGATTGATCATTTATTGTCAGGGTTATGGAGAACGGTGTGGATGGTCCTCACTTTAAATTTATTCTGTAGGTCTCTTTCAAAGTCTAAATCACTTTCTATAAGGCAAGCAGGGAGGGACAGAGAAATGCCATATATATATATTTTTTTTTTTTTTTTTTCTCAGTTCAATTGAAAACCACTGAAATGTCAAACTTGTGGATTCCAGATCGTGGCATACTTTGGTAGTTTTAAAATATAGCCATTGTTCCAGAACATACACTAAATCCTTAGAAACTTTAAACAGCTAACAGTTTTGTCTCAAGGAACAGCTTTAGGAACAGGCTTTCTCTCTCTATGCTGCTGGTGGGGGAAGGTCCTTATGTCTTCCGAGCTCCGAGCAATCTTCATGTGGTTTGGCACCTCTCTTTCCCCATCTTTGCTCTGCTTGTTTAATCTCTCTCATATCTCAAAAGAGACTGACTCATGATACATTTTACAGGATCATCATAACAACAACAACAAAACATTCCTAAATGGGATAAAACCACAAGCACAACCTGAAAATAAAATAAAAAATAAAAACCACATCCATTGCCATGGAGTTGATTCTGACTCAGCAACCCTAAAGGACAGAGAAGAAATGCCCCAGAGGGTTTCCAAGGCTTTATAGCTGTACAGAAGCAGGCTGCCACAGCTCCTCCTGCTGGTGGGTTTGAACCACAGCCCTTTCAGTCAGCAGCTGATCATTTTAACCACTGTGCCACCAGGTAATCCCACAGAGGTTAGAATTTATAATACACATTTTGGGGGCACACGGTTCAATCCACACCAACCAATGAACCACCACTGTCCTCACAAGTAGTATATAGATCAATAAACATGCCTGATGGATATTTACAATTCTACTAATAACTGAAATTTACAAACCAAGAAGTGCTTGGTTTGTAAATTATGTCCTCCTTTCAAAGCTTTTTAGTGTCTCTTCATTTTAACGGCTTCTAAGACCCTAAACAATTTACCCCAAAGGGCTGCACTCTCCCCATAATGCACTGCTCCTACTGAGAGGAAAGGAACCCTTTCCTCCTGACATACTGAATAATGTCAGTTCCCAAACACTGCGAGAGTTAAATGAGTTACCCTATCCCACCACCTCCTACTTGCTATAAGAATCGGAAAACTAAGGTCAAACACGAATAATATGACATTAAATCATGGAACCTACAGAAACTAATGTAGAGAGAATGCATGTAGAAATGCCATGAGAGTTTTCAGTTACAATTTCATCCCATAGTATTTCCAGGCCTTGTAGGGAGGTGACTGCTAAATTAATGATTAGATAGGATCACCAAATACGGGAGAATGGTGATTTACAAAGTGTTGAATTGTCATTGATAGAGATGGAAAATTGGGCAGAGGATGGCTGCACCACACAATCGATGTAAGTGATCTCACTAAACTCTGTACATAAAACATATTGAATTGGCTAACACTGTGTTAAGGAACTCTGGTAGCGTAGTGGTTACAAAATGGACCGCAAAGTCAGCAGTTTGAAACTCCCAACTGTTCCGCGGGAGAAAAGATGAAGCTTTCTGCTCCTGTATAGATCTATAGCCTCAGAAACCTGTATAGGGTCACTATGAGTCGGAACCAACTCCACGGCACATAACAATGCTGTGTTATGTATGAATGTATGAATTCACAACAAATACGAAAATACACTGGGGTACTGATTCAGTTTTCCATGAAGGTGCTGATTCAAATTATTATTTCTATCTCTGTATAGAATAGATGTTGTTAAGTATTGTTGTCAAGTCAGTTGTCAGGGTTTCCTGTATTGGGTTTCTGAGGAGCAGCTGGTGGATTTGTACAGCCAACCTTACAGTCAGCAGTTCTGTGCTGATCCTACAGTGTCACACCAGGACCCCACACAATACAATGACTCATGAACACTTCATACACATAGTGACGTTTAAGTACAGAAGCACATCATTCCAAAGTCACACCATTTCCTCGTTTTGAACCCATGATGAAAATAAGTGTATAACTGAGTTAGACAGAAGGGGGCAGCAGTTTTTATCTGCGAAAGCTTTGTCAAACATCCAAGATTCGAAATGAAATGCTTTGGAAACTTCTTTTTTACTTAAGTAAGTGTCTGAGAAAGACTAGCCTTCAATTTTGCTACTCGCTATTTATGTAGAGAACACCCTGTATAATTTGAGGCCTAAAAAAGGCACTAAAAAGAACTGAAAGGATGACAAATAGAAGTGGGACTTACCTTTAAGAAGGCTTTCTTTTCTAAAGCGTTCATGATAAATGGAGGTATCGCTGGAAGTAAAGAGAGATCCACTTAAATCTTTATTAAATGACTATTTTCAGCTCACATCCCTCCTTCCGCCCCACAGTTTGATGAAAGGCTTATTCTACTTTTAGGATCTTTTCACACTGTCAGTGAAAACTAGTTGTAATAATTCTTTAAAACATTTTAAAAACCCACTCTTCCCACTTCTTAGATTTTTTTTTTTTTAAAGGTGCTATATTGGAGTCCTGGTGTGGTGTTGTACGTTCATCACTGGACCGCTAACTCAAGGTTGGTGGTTCAAACCCACCAGCTGCTCCTTGGAAACCATATACAGGGCTACTGTGAGTCAAAAGTGATTTGACAACACTTAACAACAACATGGATTGAACTGTGTCCCCTAAAAGTATGTGTTGTAAGACCTATTCCTCTACACCTGTGGTTACAGTGGTATTTGGGAATGGGTTTTCTTTGTTGTGTTCATGAGGCAGGAGTAGTGTAGACTGTGTGTGTCAAGTCATCTCTTTTGAGATGTAAAAGGAGATGGAATAAGCAGAGATGGGGCTTGCCACAAGAAGATCACCAAAGTGTCAAGACTGACTCAGAGAAAGCCTTCCCCACACCTCCTCCTAGGTTAGTGATGAGCTGTGACCTCAATGCCCTCTGTGGACTGGCCCCAAGCCATTTGTTGACTTCTTCACAGAAGGGCTGGGGCCAAATAGTCAACAAAAAGCCTGTTGTTGTTGTTGTTAAATGACTTGGAATCCGTTCTGATTCATAGCAACCCTGTATATGGTTTCCCAGGAACAACTGTTGAGTTTGAACCACCAATCTTGTGGTTCAAACTGATCTTCCAGGTCTCAAAAACAAAACAAAACAAAAAAACAACCCATGCCAAATTCAATCGTTTACATCTTCAGTGTCTTAAAAATAGCTCACATAAGCAGATTTAATCATTTGGGGCCTGATTGCTTTGCATACTCTGTAATACTATGCCCAATATCAAAACCGTACCCAGCATCGGCATAGATAAGACAAAAGCCTGCCGTTTTACAGATCCAAACCGCTGTCACTCATTGTAGCTTTCTGACTCAGATTCCCATTAGACTGCTGAGTGACATCACCTAGACATATCTCCCTTAAGTCCCCTTGTTCCCCTTTTTTGGTGTTTTGCACCCTCTTCCTGCACCATTTCCTCGTGTCCAGTTGTTAGGGACCTGTCTCCCCACTCCATGCAAAACCTAGCAACAGGTTGGCCCCAACAAATAGCTTTGCAACACTGCCATCTTGTGGTCATATTTTTTTCCTTGATCAGCCCTGAAGTTCCTCAAACACACTACGTAAGTGGACTTTGGACTTTCAACTACATCCAGGACTGCTTCAGAGTCACCCTCACAATGCACACTGGTGTCTCATGAGGGTGTCAAGGCAATCCTTTGTTAAGTCAGATAAAGGTGGTTTCCCCTTGTACCTCCAAGTGTCCTTCATGCATTCTTCTCTATCTTTAGGTGCTTAATCGCACTTGTCTGCTAATGTGTATTCACAGAGTCAAAAAGATCTTAAAAGGGGCAAAAAGTATCTGAGGGAAAACTTCTCAACAGTTGATTAAGTGTGTTATATTTGAGGAATTAGTTTTAATTGTCAAATACTATTTTCATTCAGTATGGATTACAGCTCAGTGTAAAGAAAACAAAAATCTTCACCACTGGACCAATAAACAGCATTATGATAAATGGAGAAGAGATTGAAGCTGTTGAGGATTTTGAGTTGAATCAATGCTCATGGAAGCAACAGTACTGCATTAGGCAAATCTGCTGCAAAAGACTTCTTTTAAAGTGTTTAAGAGCAAAGAGGACACTTTGATTAGACTAAGGTGAGCCTGACCCAAAAGCTAAGATATTTTCAACTGCCTCATATGTATGTGAAAGTTGGATAATGAATTAGGAAGATCAGAAAAAGAACTGATGCCTTTGAATCACGGTGTTGGTGAAGGATATTGAAATTACCATAGACGGACAGAAGAATAAACAAATCTGTCTTGAAAGAAGTACAGCTAAAGGCTGGTGAGACTTCATCTCAAGTACTTTGTACAGGTTACGTACCAGGAGAAAGCAGTTCCTAAAGAAGGACAGCGTGCCTTGGGAAGTAAAGGGTCAGTGAAAAGTGGAAGATCCTCAAAGACATGAGCTGACACCGTGGCAGCAACACTGGGCTCACATGTGACAATTGTGAGGATGATGCAGAACCAGGCAGTGTTCCGTTCTGTTGTGCATGGGGTCACTAGGAGTCAGAACTGACTCAACAATGGCACCTAACAACATTTTCACTTAATTTACAAACTAAATCAAACATGCTAATTTCTGGCTTGTCTGTTTTCTGTTGAAAAATTTAACTCCCAGATACCTGATTTTTGAAGAAGTCTGTGAAGCTTCTCTAGGCTCCTGGTTTGAGGGTAGTTCTAAGGAGTTTCAGGGGTGGACCAGACTAAAGCCAGAGTGGATTTCCTGCATTTGTTCACAATGACTTCAAGTCCAAGCTTGATACCCATTTTATTAATAGTTGCTCTAACCATCCCAGCTTGGTCCATGTTCTAAAGATTCACAAGTGATACAAAGAAATCTTCAGTAGAAACTATTCTTATCCAAGGGCTTTTGGAAGTTTTTGTTTTTTTTTTCTCAAGATTATGAAGATCAAATTCTTTCCCTTCGAATTCTAACTCCTCTGCCACCTCCCTGGTCCAATCCACCATCAGCTTTTGTTTGGGGTATTGCAAACAGACTGCTCCCATTCACTCCTGTTCTTCAGTTTATTCTCAACCTAGCAGCTGGAGTCCTGTAGTTAAAAGTAAGTTGGATTATGCCAGTCCCCTCCTCAAGTGCCCCCTGCTCATGACTCTCTAGCACTTAGCTTCAAAGTCAGGGCTCCAAGTGCCTGCAGAACGCCCACATTCTGCCTCTGGCATTTTACTGACTCCTTTCCTTGGCTCTCTGCATTCCAGCTGCACTGGCCTCCCTGAAGTTCCCTGCCTCCCTGCAAGCTCCTGCCTGTCTTGCTGTCTTCTCTTTACAGAATACTCATCCTCTGACAGCCACTTGGCTCAATGCCTCTCCTCAATCAGGCCCTTTCCAAACTTCCTGCCTACTTCCACTCCAACATTCCACATGGTGTTTTTCCCCTTAGCCCATGTGATAGGTAAATTCTGTATCGCCCCTCCCCAGATATGTATTGGAATTCTAACCCCAATACCTGGGCTTTCTTTGTTATGTTAACGAGGCCATATCTGTGGAGGGTATATCTAAACTTAACCATAGGAATTTCAATGACCTCATACGCATGTGAAAGTTAAGACAGTGAAAAAGACAGAACCTAGAAAAATTGATGTCTTTGAATTACGGTGTTGGAGAAGAATATTAAATGTCATTAACTGCCAGAGGAACTAACAAATCTGTGTTGGAAGAAATACAGCCAGAATGCTCCTTAGACGTGAGGGTGGCGAGACTTTGTCTCTCGTACTTTGGACAATGTTATCAGGAGGGGCCATTCCCTGGAGGCTTATTAAAGTGGAGAGTCAGCGGTCAGCGAAATAGAGGAAGACCCCCAACTAAGTGGATTGACACAGTGGCAGCAGCAATGGCATCGGGTGTAGCAATGATTGAGAGGATGGTACAGGACCAATATGTTTTGTTCCGTGATGCACAGCGGTGCTATGTGCTGGAACCGACTTGATGGCACCTAACAACATCAACAAACCCTAATCACTTCTCAATGATAGAAACAGCAGATCAGACACAAAAGGAAGCACATGCAGAGGAAGACAGACTGTATTTAATAAAGAACGGAGAAACTATTTGTCTAGGAACTCTAAATAATGAACAAAGAAGGCCCTTCCATTACAGCCACTCTCTGAACTTAAGACTTCTGGCCTCCCGAACCATGAGAGAATACATTTCCATTCTGGAAAGCCACTCACTGGGAGCATTTCTGTGACAGCAACTAGGAAACTAAGATACCCCTTATCACTATCTCCTATGGTATCTATTTTACTTATTTTCTGCCTTTCCCACTAGAATATCCATTCCACCAGGGAGGCAGTTTGGTTGTTGTTGCTCACAGATGCCTAAAAGGAGGTTGCTCAACATCCATTCACATTCACTGACTATGTGGATGGAGCCAAGCTTCTACTGACCCATGCCAGGGGCTGCCATGAGGATCCTAGAGACAACAACTTGTGTGATGGCTTGCTTGGCAGCATTTGCTGATTCACCCAGTCGGTTCCCGTTTTCATCCGTGACAGGAATGCCAACCTTGAGCTCCCTGCAGAGAAAATACACAAAGAAGATCACAAATGTCCCTATGAGAGGGCTTGAAATATTACTAAGTTGGGAATGACCAAGTCCCTACCTAATCCAAAGAGCCACCTCAAGTGTTGTTTTTAGCACTGTGACATGCTTGTTTTTTAAAATGCCATGAACATTTTGTGATAGACACAAAATTAAAATAATACTAGTAAAAATTTTTTATAAGAAACTTTTCCTCAATAATGGTATGATTTAGAGCAGCGTAGTGGTTACAAATTGGGCTGCTAACCTCAAGGTCGGCAGTTCAAAACTACCAGCTGTTCCATGGGAGAAAGATGAGGCTTTCTGCTCCTGTAAAGATTTGCAGCCTCGGAAACCCTGTGCAGGGTCACTATGAGTAGGAACTGACTCCATGGTATTTAACAACAATAACAATGCTAACTTACAGATAAAGCTAATTTCTGTGTTCACATGCAACTTTGAGCAACTTTCCAAATGAGAAATGGTTATTAACTATAGTTATTAACTACAGTTATTAACTATCCTATGGTGGCACCATAGGATAAGTACTGGACTTCAAAATACAAGGTTGGTGGTTTAAGCCTAGCAGCTGCTCTGTGAAAAAAAGATGAGGCTTTTTGCTCCCACAAAGATTACAGCCTCAGAAATCCTATACAGGGTGGCTATGAATTAGTACAGACTCTATGGCACTTAACAACAACAGTTACTAATACTATCAATGTAACTTGAATTTGGAACCAGTTTTTCATTATCCATTCCAAAATACTTTATCTTATTCTTTCTTCTCCTTTAACTTTAGCCAGTTATAAAATTTATTTCAAAGATATTACTTTATTATAACGTTTTATATTATAAAGTTAATATTACTTTCAACCAAAAGAAAATTCTAGGGATTAACAAGCCTATTCTAGAGAATAAGCTTTCTTGGCACAAACCTTTTTGGTCTAGTCCTATACAAATGTAGTTCTGTGAATTTACATGCTGTGGCTTTTCTATCCCAACTCTTCTGAAATGCCACCAAATGACTGGCTGGAACTATGCAAACACAGTGTACAGATTCTAACACCAAGACTGCTTAGTTTGCTAGCTTTAAAAGCAGCCAGCTCAGAAGCAGGAACGGAAGACCCCAGGTCTATCAAGAAAGATGAGCCTCAAATGGAGTGCACTCAATTCACAATAGGAGAGATGGTGGTCTGGAGAGACAGAGCAGCTTTGGACTTCTGGATCTGTGGACCGAGTAAATCTAAGTGCCTATAGGCAGGAGGAGTTCAACTTACAGAATGTGTTCTTTGGGCACTTACAGACTGACTAAAGATTTGTATCACATGCCCGAGGAGGGCAGAGACTGAGCTCAAAGGCAAGAGCAAGGTGTGCCTGGAGTAGGCAGAGAAGGGTGTTCTTGGATGGAGAATTGCTGCATCCTGAGTTGTTTCTGATTTGTACTCTGTTCATTTTTCTAATAAACCCCATAATTATGAGTATTGTCTATGAGTTCTGTGTGGTCACTGCAATGGATATGAAACAGAGAGTGCTGTGGGAAAGTTGGTTGGTGTCAAAAGTGGAAGAAGAAGGTGACAGGGTGGAGGCATGTCTAACCTCAGCCTCATAGAAATCAGTCTTGGGCTGATTTTGAATCTGATTCTTCTTCCCCTCTGTCAAATCATAGAAAGTCAGACAAGACAGGACCTTCACATAATTCTTGTATAACTAAATGGGAGTGTTAAAATGCATTCTTAATGGCTATATATTCCTGAGTGATTCAGTGTACATCCAAAAAAAAAAAAAAAAAAAACCCAGAAGGAATGGAAGCAAATGCTGTTGAATGCTGATGCATGGAGAGGACTGTCATTGCAATGAAGTGAACTACGATAGGATGAATGCAAAGCTGATATTCTCCCGTGTAAACTACCACTCAATTCACAATAAAAACATCCAAAAAAAAAAAGAAATGTATTCTTAAAACTTTTCATTACAAACAAACAGAGCAAAGAGTAAACTATACTCCCTGGTACTTACCACCAGGTCATGGCTAATTTTGCTTCATCTATATATATATCTATTCCTCTTCCTAACTCCAAAAGCAAAAAAAAAAAACCAAAAACCAAAGAAAAACAACAAAACACCAAACCAGTTGTTGAACAACCCCATGTGTTACACAGTAGAGTTATGCTCCACTGGGTTTTCTTGGCTTTAATTTTTATGGAAGTAGATTGATTACCAGGTCTTTCTTCTGTGGTACAACAAGTGGGTTTGAAGTACCAACCTTTAAATTAGGAGTCAAGTTCAAATAATTTATGCCACCGAGGGACCTTTCCTCAGTCCAAGTCCAATATTATTTTGAAGCAAATCCCTGTTTTCAAATAATTTCATTTGTAAATATTGAGATAAAATATTACAAAGCTAATTATTCTGAGAGACTCTACTGATAAGAACAAGACCTTTCTCAGAATGTATATTAATCTTACCTTTGCCTCATTAATGGAATATTAATGCAATTAGCAGCAGCTACGGCAGCGAAGGGGACAAAACGTCCTATCAGGGGTGAGACATGCTGCAAAAAAGACAGTTGCAAAACATTATCTTACTTTTCTGTAATACAGAATGGAAACACTTATTTTTTCATGAAAACTGTTAACAGGTTTTAAGAGTGTTATTTGTGTACCCACCATCTCCACTGTTGGCTTGTTGAACTACGGTGGCCTGTATGTTGCTATGATCTTGGAAGATAGGCCACTGGTATTTCAAATGCTAGCAGGGTTACCCCCATGGTGGACAGGTTTAGGTCAGCTTCTAGACTGGGAAAGACTAGGAGGAAAAGCCCATGGCCTACTTCCCAAAACTCAGCCAACAGAAACGTATGGGATCACAACACAACACTGTCTAACCTGAGACTAAGTAACCTCAGATTGGCAAGCATTTAGCACTAAGTACACAGTGACAATCACAGACCAGGGTCTTGGTCAGTGTTACTGGTCATAATCCTTCCCAAGCTGAGTAGAAGACAGAATTAAAAATAGGCAGCTGATGTGGGCTCTGGCCCCATGGACTGAGTAAGGCTGTGTGCCTGTAGACAGGAGGCTGCCTTGCAGAATGTGTCCTGTGAACATTTAAATGAATATATAGTCTTTGTTTTGTATGTGTACATCAAATTTTTTTTCTTTGTTCATTTGTGAAATGTAAGTTGTAAATGGGGAGCCATGGGGAGGAAGCAGGATGACTGGTGTTGCAGGGAGGGAACTGTAATCAGTGAGATGCATCAGGGTGTGTGATTGGTTGAATGTAAGGCTGATGATCTTGCCTGTACAATAAAAAGTTAAAAAAATATATACAGCTGAAAACAATAAGTATAATACTGAGTTTCCACTGAGTAGATTGTGACCCTGTGTGTTACCAGGCTAGACCTGAGCTCCATGGAGCTTTTCATGGCTGAATATCAGGAAGTATATCAGCAGGTCTTTCTTCTGATGTGCTACTGCGTGGACTCAAGTTTCCACCTGTCCAATTATCTTAACAACTGGTACCACCCAGGGACTCGAATAACTATAAGACAACCATGTTATGATTTGGACCATTTTGATAAAGAATAGAGGGACGGAGAGTCAGAGAGGCAAGAAGAAAATCAGCTTTCTAGAGAACTATAAATCAGAGTACCTTGGTTAGTGCATTAAGTCCTAAGGCGGTAGCTACAGCACCGGTTGTGGCAGAAACATAGGCTGTTCCCAATTCGCTGTAAAGAAATAACATAACATAACACAAACCACACGTGCGTGTGAGGACACTTTGGGGCAACGTTTTTTGAAGAGACGTGAAACATGTAAAAGATCAAGGTCATTATCACTTCACATGTAGTGAAATCTAAAGAAAAGGCAAGCAGACCCATAATAAATGTGGTTCTTCAGATACAACCTCAATACAGCCTAACAGAATATGTGTGCATGGGGTGGAGATGGGAAGGTCGCTGTGAGAACGTAATCAACCAACACCAATTGCCATTGAGCTGATTCTGACTCATAGTGACACTGTATAGGGTTTTCCAAGGCTGTAAATCTTTACAGGGGCAGAAAGCCCCATTTTTCTTCCTCAGAGCAGCTAGTGGGTTTGAATTGCCAGCCTTCCAGTGAGCCGTCTAGTGCTTATCCTACAGAGTCACCAGAGATCTAAAAATGTGGGAATATGCCTATTGGGTTAAATGCATATAGTGTGTTTGGTTTGTTTTTTTTTTTAAAGCTTCTCAAAATATTTATATGTAAGATTGCCCATTGAAAATTTATACCTCACTGTATAAAAGACTAAAAGTCTCATCTTCAAAGTAAAATTAAACAAAAGCAATGATCTTTTTAAGAAGTTAACTTCAGGGACTGGAGGAAATGAAGGTATGAGAAGTACTGCTGAGTGGCAGAGTTTAATAACTTCAGTTCTGCGTGTTCCTAGAAGACCAGGGGCTATCAAAGGCAGTTTTAACTGAGAGAACAAAAAGCATTTTTCTTTCAAGTGATGCAAAAAACCCTCAACAAAACCATGCATAATTTTTTTCAGTTCCAGAGATCATCTATTTTAAAAACAAAAGTAAAAGTTACACCACCATGGTCTCCCTTTGATTTCTGCAGAAATCATACTGTGCTGACCTAGCTACTTAAAAAACTTTTTTATTACTGTCAAAATATATCTTCCCCAATATTTGCCAGTTTAGCCTTTTTTTTCCCCACATGCAAAATTTAGTAAAATCAATTTCATCAAATTGTACATGTGAAAAAAAAATGTACATTTTTTTCATATTGTACAACCATGACCAATACATCTAACTGCCAAATTTTCCATCACTATATACAGAAACTTAAAGCTTTCAAAAATAACTACCCCACTTTTTTCTCCTTCCCTCATGTTCCTGGTAGCCACTAATACATTTTGGCTGACCTGACTACCATTGATGTTAACGACTGTCACGTGCGTAGGGCTGATGGGGGTACAGCTTGTCATTTCTCACAGACTATACCCTAGCTGCCTGCTATGCATTCTGAAGGGAAGGGAAGGTGGACCAACCTATCGGCACCGCTTTAACAGTGTACGTATGGCCTGAGATAAAACAAAAAACTAAACCCAGTTGTAACTCATGGTGACCCCACGTGTGTGGAGTAGAACTGTGCTTCCTACTGTTTTCAATGGCTCGGATCTTAAGGAAGTAGAGGATTCAAACCACCAATCCTATGGTTAGCAGCCAAGTGCAAACCACTTGCATCAAAAAACAGCTATCTTAATAGAAAGGGAAGAACAGAACCATTTTATTTTAAAATACGTTATATAATATTCTAAATAATACAAATAAGCTGTGCACATATGCTTTTTGAAACACAGGAATGTTATCTCTTAATCTGATGAAAGATGGAGAGCTGAAGGTGATGGTTAAATCGTGCAACTTACTTTACAGTTAGAGGGGCGTCTCCACTTCTGTTGGTGTAATTGACTACCGCATTGAAGGACTGGTTAACCCACTGCCAGAAGAGCACCGCTGGTGTAGACCTAAAACAGAACAGCCATCAGACCAGGAACATCACTTATTACCTCGCTGCCATACAGAGCAGAAAGCATGAATACCAGCCACCAAAGAGGTCCCATACAGGAAAGACTGCACAGAGGGGGACAGGCTGCACTGAGGCTCGCTGTCTGCTCAGTCGGTATGGCGAAGCTGACTTTTGGTCTCTCAGACTCAGTTTTTGCACTGACTAGATAAGATCAAGGGCTGGTACCGAGTAAAAACAAAACACATCTCTGTCTATGTCTGTTTGAATAAAGTAAAAAGAAAATGTACTTAATAGCTTTTTCTTTCTCTAGCTCATTTTCTTTTGTGTCTAAGCCCCTCAAAAACCAAACCCTCCTACCCAAAATGGGGGGACTACAAAGGCAAGAAATGACTGACTTACAAGCTCTCAAGAGGGAGCCTAGATAGAGAGGGCCTGGAGAAAGGCAGAATCTCCACTGAGTAGTATGCAATCTGTCTGGTGGGGCTGATTAAAGGAGATGGGGATAGGTCTCTTGTGATACAACAGTAAATAATTGTTACTAGGACTGACTGTGAGTGTTGGGAATATATAGGTAGACATTTTGTAGCAAAAGGAGGGGAGTGATTAACATTTCAGTCTAGGAGCAGAGGTCCCTGGGACCATCAAGGGAGAAGAGCAGAGTGTGGGACCCTACTCAGAGAAGCAGTGATGTCAGAGATGGAGGCAGAGATGATGACGTGGAAAGATGGAGCGGCTGGGGACTTCAGACCCAGAAAAGGAGAGGGGCTGTGTGCTGACGATCAGGGGTCAGGCTTGCGGGGTGTACCCTTTGGTTGTTTGATGATGCATGGAGGGGACTGTAACTATGGCAATGTAACAACATACAATAGGATGAATGTAAAGCTAATGTTCTCCCATGTAAACTATCACATAATTCACAATAAAAAACTTTAACAAAAAAACCAAACCCTCTGTCATCGGGTTGATTTCAACTCATAGAGCACCTATCCATGAACAGAGCAGAACTGCTCCTTATGGTTTCTGAGGGTATATATAAATCTTTACAGGAGCAGACAGCTTCAGTTTTCTCCCATAGAGACAATGGTGGGTTTGAAACTCTGACCTTGCAAGTGAGCGGCCCAATGTTTAGCTCACAGTGCCACCAGAGCTCCTTTAGGCTTAAGGAGGAAGTTAAAATTTAACATCCTTTTGAACAATAAGCAAAAAACAGAAAAAACAGCCAGTTGCCGTCAAGACACTTCCAGCTTATGGTAACCCTATGTGTCAGAGTAGAACTGCACCACGGGGTTTTCAATGGCTGATTTTTCAGAAGTAGGATGCCAGACATTTCTTCCAAGGTGCCTCAGAGGGGTGGGGAGAATTGAAGGGCAACCTTTTCAATCAGTTGCTGAGCTTGTTAATTATTTCCACCACCTGGGGACACCTTGAGTAAAAAGAATGCAGAGGCAAAAGGTAAAGCAGATCCCTAGGGATGCAATCTATATACAAAATGGAGCTAAAAAATGAAGTGGCATTATGTTTCAATACAACTCTTTACCCACATAAAGTATACTTTAAGCTTTCACAGTGCTGAATGAGCATGACTTACCTATAAAACGTCATCATGCAGCCAGTGATGGTCATGTTCATTGGAACCTGAGCAGACATTCTTCCTATCAAAATCATCTTTTCACCCGTGTCAGGATGAAAAGCTGAATCATAGATGTACTTTGCTCTCCATAGCTCATTTTCTGTAAGACCAGGAGGCACAATTCCTTGTCTAGAAAAAAACAACAAATCATATGGCAACTGTGCCCTAGACCAGCAGCTACTATTTGTTCAAAAGCTTACTTCTTCTCTACAACAGCTGTGCCTGCAAAGAGCAACATGAATCTATCTAATACACCCACCCAGTACACGGAGTCAATAAAATCTTCATCACACAAAAGTCAATAACCATTGAAAATGAACATTTCAATCCCATTCTCTAACAATCTGTAAATGGAAAGAACAGAAATTTACCTTGTAAAAGAGCCATATTCAACTTTGAAATAGCCTGTGCTAAATTACCGATCTGAAAATGTATTTTGAACTTTGAGAACTTTAGAGTATTTTTTAACCAATCAGACAAAAGTTATGGCAATTAAGAATATTAATTCCTTTTTTAAACCAGTAGTTTAAAAGCCTAGATAAAGCTCTTCAGTTCAAAAAAAAAAAAAAGTTGAGTTCATTATTCATGATTTTTTTTCTCCTTATTAAAGAAACCCATCCATTGCTAGAAATTAGTTGGCACTGTAGGATACAGCACTGGACTGAAAGGTCAGTTTGAACAGCAACAACAATATAGAAATGCATTAAAACAATTGAAATCATTCAAGCCTTTGAGAGAAAGATAAGGTTTGCATCATCACTGTTGTTTTTCGTGGGTACATTTCCCATCTCTTTTGTATGCCCGCATCACACTGAACCTGCTACTTTGTTTTTATGTTTGCTGTTGTTAAGTGTTGTTGTGTCTGTTCCGACCCATAGTGACCCTGGATAGGATTTTTGAGGAGCGGCTATGGTTCAAACCTACCTTGTGGTCCAGTGCTTATCCTAAAGTGTCAGAATGTAACCATCTTTTAAAATCAATAATATATTGTGAACACTTCTCTGTATCATTATTCTTCTATAACATCTTTTAAATGCTGCACAGCATTCCACCATATGATCATAAAATAACATTGTATCAGCCCCCTCCCCATTGTTGGATAAATGCTATATAAAATATTACGACTTTAGTTATATCTTTTGCTCATTTTCTCTACTTCAGGATGTCTTTTTAATCTGCAGCGGCATCACCCTCATCATTATTTACTCCAACTTGCTATGTGCTCCAGTTCCAATATCCATTGTTTGAACTTGACAGTCCAATTTGATATTCAGTAAAGCAATTTTCCCCACTCCATTACTTCTTTTCCAGAATATCTTTACTCAATTTATTCTTCCAGATAAACCTTAGAATCATTTTGTCAATTTTACTGGTACTCATAATTGCAGTTTGACTGGAATTGTTTTATTCTGGAGAGAACTGATACCTCGACAGTATTGAGCCTTCTACCCAAGGCTCTTTTGGAGTCAGGACAACAAGACTCATATACTTTGGATATGCCGTCAGGATGGACCAGTTCTTGGAGAAGAGCATCAGGTTTGGTAAAGTAGAAGGTCAGGGAAAAAGAGGAAGTTTCTCAATGGGATGGACTAGCACAGTAGCTGCAACAATGGACTCAAACATGTTGACAGCTGTGAGGATGTTGCAGGGCTGGGCGGTGTTTTTGTTCTTTGTACAAAGTAGCTGACTATGAGTAAGAACAACAACAATCTAGGGCTTCTCTTAACTACCTACAGTGGGCTGGCAAGGAACCCTGGTGGTGTAATGGGTTATGCATTGGACTGCTAACTGCAAGGTCAGCAGTTTCAACCCAGCAGCTGCTTATGAGAAAGATAGGGTTTTCAGCTTCTGTAAAGATTTACAGCCTTGGAAACCCTAGAGAGCAGTTCTACTCTGCCCTGTAAAATCACCATGAGTTAAAACAATTAAGAAACATCTAACTGATAATTGTTGTTGTTGTTGTTGTTGTTGTTAGGTGCCATCAAGTTGGTACCAACTCATAGCAACCTTATGCACAGCAGAATGAAACACTGCCCAATCCTGGGCCAACCTCACTACTGTTGCCACGCTTGAGTCCATCGATGCTGCCACTTGGCCAAATCATCTTGTTGGGGGTCTTCTTAGTGCTGGTTAATAGGAAATGACTGACTTTTTATGTATCTAATAAGCAACTACTAAAGGTCAGATGGAGAGAACAAAGTAGTATAGTGACATGTGCAAAGACCTGGAGTTAGAAACCCAAAAGAGAAGAACAAACTCAGCATTTCTCAAGCTGAAAAAACTGAAGAATAAATTTAAGTCTTGATTTGCAAGACTGAATGAAGGATTCCAAGGACAAAATATTGAATGATGCAGAAAGCACTGAAAGAATATGGAAGGAATACACAGAGCCACTGTACAAAAAAGAAATGGTCAATGTTCAACATTTCAAGAGATAGCATATGATCAAGAATCAATGGTAACGGAGGAAGAAGTCCAAGCTGCACTGAAGGCACTGGTAAAAAAAAAATAAGGCTCCAGGAATTAACAGAATACAAATTGAAATACTTTAATAAACTAATACAGCACTGGAGGCACTCACACATCTATGCCAAGAAATTTGGAAGACAGCTACCTGGCCACGTGCTTAGAAGAGATATATTTGTGCCCATTCCAAAGAGAGGTGACCGAACAGGGTGCGGAAATCATTGAACAATATCATTAATAGCACTTGCAAGTAAAATTTTGCTGAAGATAATTCAAAACCAGCTTTAACAGTATATCAACAGGGAACTGTCAGAAACTCAAGCCAGATTCAGAAGTGGATGTAGAATGATGGATATCATAGCTGACATAGATGGATCTTGGTTGAAAGCAGAAAATACTAGAAAGATGTTTACTTGTGTTTTATTGACTATGCAAAGGCAAAAGCTTTCGGCAGTAATGGATCATGACAAGCTATGGATGGCACTGTGAAGAATGAGTATTCCAGAACACTTCATTGTGCTCATAGTGAGCCTGCACATAAACAAAGAGGTACTCATTTGAACAGAAAAAGGGGATACTGAATAGTTTTAAATCAGGAAAGGTATGGGCCAGGGTTGTATTCTTTCACCGTACTTATTCAGTCTGTATGCTGAGCAAATAATCTGAAAAGCTGGAATTATATGACATGGCATCAGGATTGGAAGGCAATTCATTAACAACCTGTGATATGTAGATGATCCAAGTTGCTGGAAGTGAAGGGGAGTTAAAATACTGATGAAGATCAAAAACTACAGGCTTCATTATGGATTGCACCTTAATGTCAAGAAAAAAATCCTCACAACTGGATCAACAAATAACTTTTCATGATAAATGGAAAAAAGATTGAATTTGTCAAAGATTTCATTTTGTCTCGATCCACTCTCAACACTCAGGGAAAAAGTGGTCAAGAAGTTAAATGCCACATCGCACTAGGCAAATCTGCTGCACAAGAACACTTTAAAGTGCTCAAGAGAAAAGATGTTAGTCTGAGGACTAAGGTGTGCCTGACCCAAGCCATGGTATTTTCAATAAAATCATATGCGTGTGAAAGTTGGACAATAAAGAAGGAAGACCATAGAAGAGATGGTACATTTAAGTTACAGACTGTCAGAAGAACAAACAAATCTGTGTCAGAAGAAATAACAGCCAGAATGCTCCTTAGAAACCAGAATGACCAGACTTCATCTCTCATACTTCAGACATATTGTCAGGAGGGACCAGTCACCAGAGAAGGATATCATGTTTGGTAAGGTGGAGGGTCAGAGAAAAAGAGGAAGGCTCCCAACAAGATGGTCTGGCACAGTGGTAACAGCAATGGACTCAAGCGTAGCAACAATTTTGAGGATGACGCAGGACTGGGCAGTGCTTTGTCCTGTTGTGCATACGGTCTGAACCGACTGGACAGCACCAAACAACAATAGTATTCTTTTGTTAGTTCCACTGTTATTTCAGTTGATTGTTGAGAATGCCATCATTTGCAAATAAGGAAAATACTGTGTGCTTTTCCATGCCTTACTGAACTGAATAGGGCTTCTGGGGAAATGTTACATAATAGAGATGATAAAAGCATCCTGACTTGCTCCTTCTTTAAAGAGAATGACTCATAATGCAAGTATTCTGGGGAAATGTTTGCTAAGATTTTAGAAGTCACAGAAAAAAGAAAGGCCCATGTTCAAGTTTGGAAAAATAAAATTTAAACAGTGATGGCCAGTCTCTTTAATTTAATTAAAAAATAAGAGCTATGTCTTTCCTCACCTGAGAAAATCTCTGTTATATATTTTATATTGCTTCTTTTGTACTTTTCCCATAGTTTCTACTTTATTAGAATGAATTTTATCTTCACTATCTATTCTCTCCCTCACTTAAATACAGTCTTTCCACACCTTTCTCCTTTTGGTCTATATCAGAGGTTGTGAAGCTATACCCTACAGTCTGTTTCTAAATAGTCTATGAACCAATGGTTTTGCATCTTTTAAAGATTGTAAAACAAGCTGGATTCCCTGGGGGTGCAGTTTATGTACTTGGCTGTTAATGAAAAGGTTGGAGGTTCATGTATACCCAGAGGCACCTCAGAAGTTAGGTCTGGCAATTTACATCTGGAAGATGTTACTGAAAGCCCAATGGGGCACAGTTCTACTCTGACATAGCATCTCCATGAGTTGGATTTGACTGGAAGGCAGCTTATATGTAATAAGCAAACAAATAAGAATACGTATAGAAGACAACAACCCTATGTGCCCCACAAAACCTGAAATATTTACCATCTAGTCCCTTCCAGAAAAACAAGCCCTTATGGTGCAATGGTTAAGCTCCCAGCTGTTAACCAAAAGGTCAGTGGTTCGAACCTACCAGCTGCTATGCTGGAGAAAAGAGTTGGCAATCTGCTCTCATAAAGATTTACAGCCTTGGAAACCCTATGGGGCATTTCTATTCTATCGTATAGGGTGGCTACAAGTTGGAATTGACTTAGAAGCAACAGCAACCACCTTTACAGAAAAACCTTGCCATCCTCTGATCCATATCCTTGGGGAACTTCTTAGTTGTGTTCTCTGCATCTCGTCCCTACTTTTGCCCTACACCATGACTGTTGTTTACGTCTAAACCAACCTCCAGTGAAGAATTCCATTCTGCTTGTACCTTTTTAGGTTCTTTGTAATTCTTCCTTACCTGGATGTCTGTTCGTCTCAGCTTCTCCTCTTTTTATGGCTTTTGGTTACAGATTCATAAAGATGATTTCTCTTAATTGCTGGAATGTGCTTCTCCTTGTCTTCCTTTTCCTTGTTCTTCAGTACCTTTTCGTAAGGATCCATGACACTTTGTTGTCAGGATGTCGCCACTTTGTTCACATCAGCACATGGCAACATCTGCCCTGGCTGAGTAATTAGAAATGCTTATGACTGTCCTTGGTTCCTTCATCAACTGCCTACCTGGCAGTGAAGTACCTATCTAAGGTATATTTCTTTCGGGTACATGAGTTATTGTTGTTGGTAAATGCCACCAAGACATTTCTGACTCATAGTGACCCTGTACAGGGTTCCCAAGGAGCGGCTGGTAGATCTGAACTGCCACCTTGCAATTCAACTCGACCCTGCAGTCTAGTACCAACGATCAAGAAGATGGAGTGAGACCAGACAACATTTTGTTCTGTTGTACATGGGATTCCCGTCCCATGTACATCAGAACTGATCCATTACAACCAACAACAAAACAGAAACATGAAGAATATGCACTTTACAGTCAGCAAAGCCAAAGATATTTATTAAATGTCTCTAATGGAAAAAGTCTGCACATCCCTGATTGACAGACTACCTATATGTTGTTGTTGTTGTTAGGTGGCCTCCAGTCAGTTCCGACTCATAGCCACCCTATACACAGCACAATGAAATTGCTGGTCTTAAGCCAGCCTCATAATGATTGCTATGCTTGAGCCCATTGCTGCTGCTACTGTACCAATCCAGCTCATTGGGGGTATTCTTTTTCACCGACCCTCCACTTTACTAACATGATGTCCTGCTTTAGGGACCCTCATGAAAATATGTCTAAATTGTGAGAGACAAAGTTTCACCAGCCTGGCTTCTAAGGAGCATTCTGCTTGTACTTCTTCCAACACAGATTTGTTGGTTCTTCTGGAAGTCCAGGGTACTTTCAATATTTTTTGCCAACACCAAAACTCAAATGCATTCATTCTTTTATAAGCTTCCTTATCCACTGTCCAACTTTCACATTCATATGAGGTGACTGAAAATGCCATGACTTGGGTCAGGTGCACCATAGTCTCAAACTGACATCTTTTCTTTTGAACACTTTAAAGAGGTCTTGTGCAGTAGATATGCCTAATACAATACAGCGTTTCATTTCTTAGCTGCTGTTTCCATGAATGTTGACAGTGGATCCAAGAAAAAATGACGTATCTGACAACTGCAATCTATTTATTATATTGGTCCAGTTGTGAGTATTTTTGTTTCCTTTACATTGAGGTGCAACCCATATTGAAGGTTGTGGTCTTCATCAGTATCATAATCTTCTTCCCTTTCAGCAACCAAGATTGTATAAACTGCATCTCAGGTTGTTAATGAGCCTTTCTACAATCCTGATGCCACATTCTTCTTCATATAATCCATCTTCTTGGATTATTTGCTCAGCATACAGACTAAATATGATGAAAGTATACAACCCTGGTGCACACTTTCCTGATTTTAAAGCATTCAGTGTCCCCTTGTTCTGTTCAAATGACTACTTCTAGATCTATGTACAGGTTTCTCAGGAAAACTATGAAATGTTCTGGAAGACTCATTCATTGTAATGATTCCATAATCAGAACATGGGATGTATGAAGCATGAATCTATGAAAATTGAAAGCTGTCAAACATTAAATGGAACACATCAAGATTGATATCCTAGGCATTAGTGATCTGAAATGGACTGGTATTGGCCATTCTGAACCTGACAATCACATGCTTTACTATGCCAGGAATGACAAAATGAAGAGGAATCGTGTCATATTCATCATCAAAATGAACATTTCAAGATATCTCTTGAAGTACAATGCTGTAATAATATCCATCTACCTACAAGGAAGACCAGTTAATACCACTATTATTTAAATTTATGTACCAACCACTAAAACCAGTGATGATGAAATTGAGGAATTCTACTAACTTCTTCAGTCTGAAATTGATCAAACATGCATTCAAGATGTTTTGATAGTTACTTGTGATTGGAATGAAAACGTAAGAAACAAAGAGGAAGAAAATTATGACCATAAAAATGATGATGGAGATCGCATGCTAGAATTTTGCAGAAACAATGACTTCTTTATGGGAAATGCCTTTTTAAACAACATAAAAGATGACTATACACATGGACCTCACCAGATGGAATACACAGACATCAAATTGCTATATGTGTTGGAGGATTTCTGATGTGGTGCTGTATGATCAGCACTGAACTGCAAACCACAAGCAGTTCAAACCCACCAGCTTCTCCTGGGAAACCCTGCACAGGGTCGGCACTTAACAACAACAGCAACAACATATTTGTTGGAAGAGATGGTGGAAAAGTTCCACATCATCAGGCAAAATAAGGCCAGGGGCAGACTGCAGAAGAAACCATCAATTGCTCATATGCAAGTTCTGCCTGAAGCAGAAAAATATTACAAGAAGTCTATGAAAATAAAAATATGACCCTGAATATAATCCATCTGAATTTAGAGATCATCTCAAGAAAAGATTTGATACATTAGACACTAATGACCAATGACCAGAAGTGTTGTAGGATGACATTAAGAACATCATACAAGAAGAAAGCAAAAGGTCATTAAAAAACAAAAAAAGACAAAAATGGATGTCAGAAGAGACTCTGAAACTTGCTCTCCAGCATACAGATGCTAAAGCAAATGGAAGAAAGGAAAAAATAAAATACATGAACAGTTTATCTCCAAGAGCAGCTCAAGAACACAAATATAATGAAATGTGCAAAGACCTGGAGTTAGACATTTAAGAGGGAAGTACATGCTCAGCATTTCTCAAGCTGAAAGAACTGAAGAAAAAATGCAAGTCTCAATTGCAGGATAAGGACTGGACTACTAATCACAAGGTTGGTGGTTCAAACCCACCATTTGCTCCTTGGAAAGTCTATAGAGTGTCACTATGAGTCAGAACTGACTCTACGGCACACCACAACAACATGGGAAAAATATTGAAGGCAGAAAGCATCAAAAGATGGAATACTCAGTCACTGTACCAAAAAGAAATGGTTGATGTTCAACGGCTTCAAGAGGTGGCATATGATCAAGAGCAAATGATACTGAAGGAAGTCCAAGGTGCACCAAAGGCATTGGCAAAGAACAAGGCTCCGGGAATTGATGGAATACAAATTGAAATCTTTCAACAAACTGATTTCAGCACTGGAGGCACTCACTCATCTATGCCAAGAAATTTAGAAGACAGCTACCTGACCAGTTAATTAGAAGAGATCCCTATTTGTGCCCATTCCAAAGAGACGTAACCCAATGGAATAAGGAAATCATCAGACAGTATCATTAATATAACGTACATGTAAAATTGTTGATGTCAGATGGATCTTGGCTGAAAGCAGAGAATAACAGAAAGATGTCTACCTTTGCATATTTAGATAAGTAGTATCTTCTCTTACCTCATGCCTGGCTGTCTGAACTGATGGAGTGTTCCTCAAGTCTTTAAACTCCTACAGGCACTGCCTCCAACATCATTTTCTGCAGAAGTTTATTCAGTGCACCTCTATCTCTGAAATAACCAATCTCCCTTAGTTCTTGCTAACTGTTTCTTTTTGCTTTCAAGACACTGTCTCTATCTGGACAGAGAAAGATACAGAGGGTCGGAGTACTGTGGAAAAGAGACAGATTGCTGGAAAAGGCAAACTCACAGATTAGTAGCTATGGGTTGGAGGGATGATTTTCTCATTTTCAGTTTTCTGTGAACCTTGGATGGAAATCCTGAATGGTGCAAACAGTTAATGTGCTCAGCTGTTAATGGAAAAGTTGGAGGTTCGAGTCCTCTCAGAGGGACCTCTAGAAGAAAGACTTAGTGATCTGCCTCTGGAAATTCAGTCATTGAAAACTCTATGGAACACAGTTCTACCCTAACATACATGGGGTTGCCATGAGCCACAGTTGACTCAACAGCAGTTGGTAAGAGCATTAGCTATCTATGTTAAGGGTAAGCAATGGGGGCAGAAAACAGGACATTTTCTTCCTCTTTTTCCTTTCCCCTTTCCAAAGCCCCCAAAATTTATTTTTAAATCACGAAGGGAGTGTTTAAAGACAATAGGTTAACATCAGCTATTGCTCTATCACTCTAAAAGAAATGAATGTTACCTGTAATCATGTATTGTTTTTCTTGCATTCTCTAGTTGTTCGTTGGTTAACAAGATATTCCTGGGGTCAGTTACAGTGAAGAAATGATTGGCGCGTCCAACAAAAGTGCTTTGGTCCCATCGAGGCTCCTTAATATTGATGTTTAGTGGTAGTTCTCCTGACATTGTCCTAGACTTTAGAGAATCAAAGAGGGTTTACTTAGGGGTTACAATGTCACTATACAATAGAGTCACACTAATGTTCAGGAAAAGAGTTTTACACTCCTCCAATTTATAGAAATGCTTCAATTAGTCTTAACCAAAGTTCAACCACTTTCTAGATTTTTCTAAGTATCCAGTATCCCATCATTTTTATTTTTTATTTTTTGAAACCTAGAAACATTCTAGAACAATATACACATGGTGTGGTGGTGGTGGTGTGCTGTGGAGTTGGTTCCAACTCACTGCGACCCTGTATTGTGTTTGCGAAGCTGTAAATCTTTACAGGAGCAGAAAACCTCATTTTTCTCCCATAGAGTAGTTGGTAAGTACACATATGAAAGTCAAAAAAAAGAAAATCAGTAGTAACAGGATCTGAAGTTTTATAATGTTTTTTTTTCTGGGTGAAATATCAGTGAATAAACACCATCAAATGACTTTAGTTATTTTCTTGATGTGTGTGTTTTTTAATCTAACCATTCTACTCACACCCATAGATTCTGACTCATGGCAACCCTTTAAGAGAACACAGAAATGCTCTATGAGGTTCCCAAGACTGTAAGTAAATATTTATGGTAACAAACAGCCTCACCATTCTCCTGTGGAACAGCTGGTGGATTTGAACAACCAACCTTGCAATCAGAAGCCCAAAGCTTTACCCACTGTGCCACCAGGGCTCTTTTAGGGATCCTGTTGTTATGCATCATCAAGTTAGTATAGAGTTTCTGAGGAGTGGATGGTAGGTTTGAGTCGCTGAGTTTGTGGCTAACAATCCAATGCTTAACCTACAGTACCACACCAGGACTCCTTAATCCATCTTGTTATTGTCGTTGTTGTTAAGTGATGCCAAGTGACCCTGTATAGGGTTTCTGAGGAGGTGCTGCTAAATTTGAACCACCGACATTGTACCACACAAGGGTTCCTTAAGTAAAATCCAAATGGAAGTAAAATGGTATTCCAGTGTGGTTTTGATTACCAGCTCTCTGATGGCTAATGACATTGAACATCTTTTCTTGTGTTTGGTGGTCTTTCTTTGATAAAACATCTATTCAAGTCCTGTGCTCACTGTTTGATTGGGCTATTTGTCTTTTTACTAAAAAGTTGTTGAAGTTAGTCTGAGTGGAGCTAGCAAACTGAGTGGTTGTGTGACTGCATCTTGGAGACCGGTAGCACTTGCAGTATGGCTGACCAACTGACTGAAGAGCAGATTGCAGAATTCAACGAAGCTTTTTCACTATTTGACAATATAACGAAAAAGGAATTGGGAACTGTAATGAGGTCTCTTGGGCAGAATTCCACAGAAGCAGAATTACAGGACATGATTAATGAAGCAGATGCTGATGGTAATGGCACAATTGACTTCCCAGAATTTCTGACAATGATGGAAAGAAAAATGAAAGACACAGACAGTGAAGAAGACATTAGAGAAACATTCCATGTGTTTGATAAGGATGGCAATGGCTCTATTAGTGCAGCAGAACTTTGTCACGTGATGACAAACCTTGGAGAGAAGTTAACAGATGAAGAGGCTGATGAACTGATCAGGGAAGCAGATATTGATAGTGATGGGCAAGAATGATGACAGCAAAGTGAAGACATTGTGGAGAATGTGTTCAATTTCTTGTACAAAACTGTTTATTTGCCTTTTCTTTGTTTGTAACTTATCTGTAAGAGGTTTCCCCTTACTGTCAAAAGAATATGTATGTATAGTCATTAGGACTTCATTCCTCCATGTTTTCTTCCCTTATCTTACTGTCATTGTCCTGAAACCTTATTTTAGAAAAGTGATCAAGTAACATGTAACATGCAGCTTACTCTGGATATATCTAAGCCCTGCCGCACATCTAAACTTAGATGGAGTTGGTCAAATGAGGAAACATCTGGGTTATACCGTTTTTTAAGTAGTGTTCTTTAGGAACTGTCAACATGTTTTTTGTTCAAGTGTGGAATTGTAACTCTGAGTGGGTGTTGGACAGTCAACAATATGTACTCAAAGTTGCACTATTGCAAAATGGGTGTGTTATCCAGGTGCTTGTACACTATTTTTCTGTACTGCTGGTCCTGAACCAGAAACATTTTCTTTTATTGTTACTTGCTTTTTAAACTTTGTTTAGCCACTTAAAGAAAATCTGTTTATGGTACAATTTGCATTAAATCCATTCCAAGTTATATATTTGCTTTCCAATAAAAAACTGACAATTTACATTCCCCCCCAAAAAAAGTTATTGAATTTATATGTATATGAACATATATATGTTGTTGCTGTTGTTAAGTGCTACTGAGTTGGTTCCAACTCATAGCTGCGCTGTATAAGATTTCCAAGGAGCAGATGGTGAGCTTGAACCACCGACCTTGTGGTTCAAACTGACTTTGCAGTCCAGCGCGTTAGCCCAAGGCGCCACACCACAACTCTAATGCACTGGACTGCAAAGGCAGTTCAAGCTCACCAACCGTTTCGTGGAAACCCTATACAGGATCGCTAAGAGTCGGAACGAACTTGACAGCACTTAACAACAACATATATACATATATATGTTCATTCACACCAGCAATGTAGGTAAAGGGTCCAATTTTTCAATATTTTTATCAACATTTGGAAATAACTTCTATGTTCTGGTCCACTATTTTATTTATTTTTTCCCTTCTAGTAAAACCATTGCCATTGAGACAATTCTGTGAACTGCCCCATAGGTTTTCCAAGGCTGCTCTGGTGGCATAGTAGTTACGAATAGGGCTGTGAACCACAAGGTCAGCAGTTTGAAACTCCCAGCTGTTCCACGGGAGAAAGATGAGGCTTTCTGCTCCCGTAAAGATTCAAGGCCTTGGAAACCCTGTACAGGGTCACTATGAGTTGGAACCAACTCTGCGGCACATTACAACAACAATCTTTCTGGAAGGAAACTGACACATCATTTTCTTGTGGAGTAGTTGGTTGGTTTCAACTGCCAATCTTTCAGGTAGCAGTGGAGCCAGTGGGTCACCAGTCCCAACCACCCACTGCCAGTGAACTGACGCATAGTGACCAGAAGGCCTCACCTTTCTCTCTCGGAGCAGCTGGTGGGTTTGAACTGCTGGCTGACCTTGCAGTTAGCAGTCCAGTGAATATCCTGCAGTGCTACCTGAGCTCCAGAACTGACTAAACAGGCAAAGAAAGTTTGTTAAACATATATGAGGGGGCTTCAAAAATTTCACAGAAAAATGTCATTAAAAGATAATGGAATTTTCCACAAACTTTTGAAGTCCCTTTCATACAATTTAAAAAGATTCAGATTCATTCAACCCTGCTCTGAACATTAAATGCCAAATAAAAGTTTCAAATGATGTTCTTCAACCTACCAGGAGCACAATAGAAAAAAGACATCAGATAGCTCCATCAACTACACACTGTAGCAGGCAATTTCCAACATGAAATTTCTATTTTCTGGCTACAAATCATTATTTTAAAAAATGTAATTAATGTATTTTTGTCAGTAACATACACTTATTTTAGAAATGCACTGCATTGCTGTTAAGACATGTCTACTGTATTTTGCATAATACATGCTTATGGTAGAAAATAAAGGATAAAGAAATAAAATCACCCATAATTCAATCACTCTTAAATAATCACTGCTAATGTTTTGTAGAAGTTCTGGTGTGGCAAATCCACAGGACTTAACAACAACAACAAGGTATAGTTAGAACTTTGGGAGTCCTGGTGTGGTGCTGAGGGTTAATGGGCTGGAATGCAAGGTCAGTGGTTCAAACTCAGCAACTGCTCCTGGGAAACCCTATACAAGGTCACTACTGAGTCGGAACCAACTCGACAGCACTTAACAATAACTCTGTATTCTGTATTTTAATATCCTGGTTTTTCTTTTCATTTACTTCAGAAGTGGAAACTTCCCATGGCATTAAATATTCATATGGATATACAACTATGTCTTTAATGCTGATGCTATTTTTGTTTTTTTATAATTATAAATAATGTGCATCTTTGTCTATGAAAGGAGCCCTGGTTGGACAGCATTTCTCAAGGAGTCCTGGTGTGGCTCTGTGAATTAATGTACTGGACTACAAGGTCAGTTTGAACTGCAAGGTCAGCAGTTCAAGCTCACCAGTGGCTTCTTGGAAACCCTTTGTACAATCTTTGTGAGTCAGAACTGACTTGAAGGCACTTGAAGGTCAGCCGTTAAACATTTTTTTTAAATAATGATTCTTAGTTGCTTTTTGGGAGAAAGAGGAGGTTGTCTGCTCCCATAAAGATTTACAGTCTTGGAATCCTTAAGGAGCAGTTCGACTCTGCCCCCTAATGTCACTATGAGTTGAAATCAACTCCATGTAAATGGGTGAGTTTGCTCATGAATCACCGGTGATTTCCTGAGATTAGATCTCTCTACAATTAACGTCTCAAATCATTACTTTCTTTTACCTCTTCTCCTTTCCTACACTTCTAACACCAGCTCCAGTAGTAGCTTTCTTTTCCAGGTCATTTTCCATCAGGTTCATTTTTAAGTGCTTCAGCGTAGTGGTTACGAATCGGGCTGCGAACCTTAAGGTCAGCGGTTTGAAACTACCAGCCGCTCCGTGGGAGAAAGATGAGGCTTTCTACTCCCATAGGATTTACACTCTCGGAAACCCTGTACAGGGTCGCTATGGGTCGGAACCGACTCGACGGCACTTAACAACAACAACAGTTCCCCTCACCATTCTGCTCCTGCAGATAAGGTCTTTTAGTGAAATAACTCTTTTATCAAAGGGACCAGAGTTGCGGTTTATTCTTGAGTAGCTTGTTTCAGTTCTCTGCCAGCCCATCAATTATTCACACAAGCCAATCACATTCTTCTGTAAGAATCAGGGATCACCACACTCTCATTACTACAAAGCCTGGTTACTACAGTTCCTGCTTGCTCACTGTGTTCTCTGAGTGGAACTACCACGTGGCTCTGGATGGTGTGCAGTGTCCTTCCCTGGGTTTGACTATGTTGTTGTTGTTG